TATATATATATATCTTTTAAAAAGAAACTTGTGATATATGATCGGGACCTGAAATGTAAAAAAGCCATATAGTATTCAAAAATAACAATTAAGATTTTTTTAAAAAATATGTTAAAGTTTTGTGATTAGGGGTGGGTATACAGACCGGTCCGTAAAACTCACGTTTTATACAGGTCGGATAAGTCCGGTCCGTAAAATAAATGGACTTATTTTTTAAGTCCGTATCTGGTCCGTCAAAATTCGCAGATAATGGACCGGTCCGTGGGCCTAAATAATTGTTCAAAAAAATAAATTTTTAAAAAATAAAAATACATAAAATTAGAAGAAAAAAATATTTTTTTATTTATAAGCTAAATTTTATCATACTAAAATTTATCAATAGTTAAAATGGTTTAAAATACTAAATATTAAAATAAAAATAATTACAAATACTTAAATAATAATACCAAATTTTCAATAATAAAAGCATCAAAATATCATAAAAATAATTCAAATGACAAATACATGCCAAGTAAATATAATTTTAATGTCATAATAATTTAAAAAATTAAATACACAACTTAATATTAAAATTGTAATATTTAAAAAATATTAATTAGTGAAGTTCGTGGACTAGTCCGCAAGCTCGCAGATTAAATCTGTCAAGTTTGCGAACTTCACGGGCCGAACTCAAAAATTAAACATAGTTATACAGATTTAAAAAAAATGGGTACATTATCCACAAAATCCGCTGGTTTACAGACCGGTCTGCGGACCCGAGCCCATCTACCCACCCCTAATACTCAATTCAGACAATTATAATTTTTTAGAACGTTGTTAAAATTTGGTAATATTCAATTAAGACTTTTTTCACTTAAAATGTTTTTGTTAGTATTCAAAAATCAAAATTATAAAAATTTCAATAAATTATTTTGAATAATAAATTTTGTGAAAAATTTTAATATAATTTATATGTAATTCATTCATCTAGCAATTTAAAAAAAAAACTTTTAAGATTTCACAATACTTTTTAATTTCTTGTATTTTAATTAAACATAGAATTTTTTTAAAATTTCTATCTTTACCATATATGGGTATGAAAATTTTATTTTTTTAGAATTCTTATTTTTAGAACTTTTTATTATAGTTATTTTCTAATATTATTTCCTACAATTTAGATTATTAATATATTATCATTTTAGTAATTTGTTTTTATTTTTAATTTATAGTATTAATCTACTATTTGTTTTTTATTTTATTAATGTTATTAATATATTATCATTGTAATAACATTTTTCTTCAAATTAGAGGATTGGTATAATATTAATTTTTTATTCTTTATAAATTATTAATAATTTTATTTGGTTTAAAATTATAATTTATAATTATTTTTTTAAAAATAAAATATTTCTTAAATATATTAGATATTTTTAAATTGATAAGTACAAATATAAATAAATATATATGACTATTGGATATTTTAAATTGATGATATACAATAAATTATCTAAATTAAAATATGTTTTCAATTAAAATTTAAGAAATTTAAATAACTTTAGTGATTTCTACTTAATTAATATTTTAAAAATTAAAAAATAGGGAAAAATAACCATTTGAATAAAGTGTGTATCTACTATTAATAATATTTATTTAAATAATTTCATGTTTTTAAGATTTTGTACGTGTTTTCGGGATTCAATGAGATTCTTTTTTTTATTAGTTTATGATATTTGTTTTCGTATAAATATTGATGCTCTGGGAGCTAATTGGAAAACAACTTTTGTCTCATCCATTTCTTAAGAATAATTCTCTGAAGGAATTTTGTTATTGCATGTTCATGGAGAATAAGACAAATTCTGTCACCTTTTTCTTGTTCGTAATTTGCACACTGATCTTCACCACTGCCTCTGCCATTCGATGTTTAGGTTAATCTTACTTTACTAATTACTCTGACTTTTTTTCTATAAATTTTATTCACCTCTCTAATTATATTTATTATTTAACATCATCAAATGACAAGTTTATAACATTTTTTTTATCTAATTCCTCATTTCTCTGTTGCAGATACTAGGTGTTCTGTGTTTGCCAATGTTGATATTGATACTTTTCAGGTATAAACTGGTCCTTTTATTTGCCCTTACTTCTCATTGTACTTTCTTTATTCACTATTTCTACAGTTCCATTATTTTTTCTTTTCGCAATACACTTCTTTACTATCAATTTATTCATAATCCAATCATCTTCATAGTGTACCATAATTCATTTGATCTAATTCTGTACTGAAAAGTTTTCCCCGTTAGTTTAATTAACACACTTTTAGATGTACTTTAAGACCGAATGATGATAATTAGAGTGTACTTTAATCTCATAATCATGTACATATATTGTTAATTTGAATAATTATACATAATCTATAATGTTATGTTTGTGTATAACGAGTAAGTCGATCCATAATAATAACATTAATTTAGCAGCGGTTAATCATTTGGTAATGATTGTTGCGCAGAAGCATAAGGGGGAAATTGGAGAAAGGTTGGATGTAGAGGAGTCAGCAACGGGCTCACCAGTGGGCTCGGCGACAAGTGACGTGCGTGGGCCTGGGTCAACGCCACCGAATTGTGAGTCCAAGTGTGGGTCATGTACACCCTGCAAACGCGTTCTAGTGGCGGTGTCGCCGCTGGAGATAGAGCCCATGGGCCCTGAGTACTACCCAATAATTTGGATGTGTGAATGTGTCAACAAATTGTACAAGCCATGAATGTATTTTCTTCTACTATCTTAGCTTTATAGGTATTCACGTTAAAGCCATGAAGTTTTGGTGACTTACACTTTGTGGGCTATGTCTCACACTCACAAGATTAAAATAAGAAATCAGTTATTTTTAAATTTGTTCTAATAAAATCGATTTTAAAAAGATGACATTATTTATAAAAAAAAATAATAATAATGTCATTTTTTAAATTAGTCCCCATATATATGACTAATTATAAATCCCGATACTGTATCCCATTTTTTAACTAATTAACGGGATAAATTTTTATATGATAAGTTGGTTAACTTAGTAACTTTATAAGTTAATTTAAAAATGGCTGAATGGCAAAATATTTTTTTTGTATTGTGTATACATGACAATTAAATTCAGATTTATAATCAAATTATCATTACACCTATCAATAAATGTCTCTATGTAGAAATAATGTCTATATAGAAATAATTTCAAAGGATGACCAAAACTCCAAAGTGAGCCGATGCAAGCATTCTCATTTAATAATAACAGTTTTCCTATATTAATTAGCTGGGATTTTATAATACAACTTTTTATTTTGTATGCATAGCTTGTTGTATATTTTTATTTGTTTTAAAAGATTAATTTATTCGTAAAATTATTTTAAATTTAATTTAAAATTTAAAATTATTAGGTTATTAATTATAAATTTTTAAACCTAATTAATATCAATTTTAATAAGATATGATAACATGATCATTGTAATTTTAATTAATTTTAATTATTAAATATTTTAAAATTAAGTATCTTTAATTTTCATGATTAATTATAGTCACAACGATTAATATTCTCTTTCTATAAATATTGAGAATCGGTAGGAGTCAAAGGAGCTAAGCATTGTTCTTTTCTCTATAGTGTCTCTCTTGAGTTAAAACTTGTCAATTTTGCATCCTTAACCTAATATTGAAAAGATCTTATTGTATCTTAGGGGACTTGTGTCAGAGTATGACAATGCATTGCACATCTTAAGAATTTAAATCAATTTGTGCTCTTAGCATTTTTGGACAATAATGTAAAGGATTTATAGTTGTCCATTGCAATATGGTCAACTAGTGTGAGAGTTGAGCACGAGATTGCAAAAGAGAATGTGACATTCACATTGGTGCAGCTGTCACATGTAAAGGAGAACAAGGTATCAATCGGGCAATCCGAGGTGATTTTGTCATTAGTGAGCTTGTTGAAGAGCGACAGATTTCATAGGAAGAAGAAGTTCATATCAATGGAAGAAAATAATTAATTTGTCAACCAAATTTGGTAAGAATCTATATAAATTTTCTTGGTCAAGTAAAGTTTCATGTGTTAAGTTTTTTTTCTAGATAATTATTAAGGACTATTAGCTTCTCATGGTAAATAACTTACTATTGTTATATTGAATTATTATATTCAATTATGATATGTTAATTGACAATTAAATTACTTTGGGTTGTAACCAATGTTTTAAAAATCGGATCGGACCGGCCGGTCAGACCGGTTGAACTGAGAACCGGTGGTCTAGCCAGTCCGAATCTTAAGTTAGATCGGTTATGCATCCGGCCCGTTTCAAACCGGATTGAATCGGTCAATTTTTCGGTTCGACCAGTGAATCAATGGGTCAAACTGGTTCAACCACAAATTTTTTTTTATTTTTTTTAAGGGACCACAAACCACAAAAAAAAACAATAAGAATTGAATCTATTAATGGAAGAGCAAAAAGTCTTATTAAACATAAAAATGATTACTTGTTCTAATGTATTTGTTTATAATATATGCAACTTAAATCACTTTTATAGTATATTATTAATTTTAAATTATATGTTTAATAATATAATATCTATATAGAAATTACATATATTATTTTATGATATAAATTGCAAGCATATTATATGTACATATTATTTATATTTTTAATTTATATTAATATACAGTTTAACATGTAATTTTTTTATGTATTTCTTTATACAAAATAAAAATAAAGATAATTTTAAATAAGATGAAAATTGAAATTTAAAATTGGATATGAATTTATTGAAATTTATAAGTATAAAATATATTTAACATGAATATTTTTTTAAAAAATTAATAAAAATCGGGTCATGCGGTTCAATTAGTGACCCACTAGTTCGACCTTTGACTCACTGACCCAGTATCCTAACTGGTTTGATGACCGGTCCGATTTTTAAAACTATGAATATAATTGCTAATTAAATGCATATCGCATGTTACGTGATTCATAATCATGATTAGCACATTGCTTCAAGAGACTTTGTATATTTAATTGTTTGTGTTGAAACATTGGGGAGAATTAAATATTTATCTATATGTATGAAAGCCAAAAATTATTAATATTATTATAGCCATTTATGACATGAATAAGAGAAGACCTAGTGAAACTGTTAACAATTTTGAGTAACATGATTGGTTATAATGTTAAATATGATGTTGCTTATTGTAAATTTTACATAACTTGAGATGTTACAGAGATTTCATAAATTATGGTATTAACATTGTGGATTTTTCATTGTATTAAAAAACTACAATGATGATTAATTGATCTTGGATCCATATGAGACAAAAATCCACTAATATTGTGTTATTACACTTTGTTCTAGTAAAATTATTTTGAGATCTACCAAATATAATTGTTGAATTAGTGTTGTTGATCTAAGATGTGATTATGAGGCTTACTGGTTGAGAACCTCTTAGCAGATATTCTATTGAGAATATAAAATTAAGAAGTGATGTGATATAACAATATCTTTAAAAGATGGAAATTAGTATATAGTCAATAATGGATTTGACGGATCCTTTGACTTTCCAAGAAAGATATTGCTTATTAAACATTGTGAGTTGTTTATAAAAAATTTAAGGGGAACGAAATTTTATTAAAGTCACTTAATACAAATAATAATGGGAAGAACAAGTCACTTGTTAGTTCTGTTAACTATATAAATTATTTTAATTAGTTTGATCTTTTTATTTATTCCTATGGTATGGGAAAATGCTATAGATGCATTAATGACAGAATAATTTTTATTGTTAAGTCTTACGTGATTATGAGAAAATTTGACCTTTTATAAAGAATTTAATTATTTTTATATCTCTTATGAATGGTGTATAATTTGTAGTATACAATTGATGAAATCATCTATATGAGTATTGTCAAATAGAGGCTGCTTATATGAGATTTTGACGAGATATCTAGAACACTCATGAATACTAAATGCACGAATAGCCTAAAAGTACAACACATTGGTAATGACAAGAATTATGAGGGTATATTGTGATTGGTTAACCTTAATATACACCAAATGTTTTGAGTTCAATAGTTTGCTACACTCACTACATTATGTGTTAAGTTTTATCAATATAGTTTAGTTCAATAACTAGTTACACCAAGTCTAATGCATTACATCCAATATGAGAACTCAATTTTTTTTAAACTTTTGAAATACGTGAGGGATTGTTGTACATTTTGAAATATTTCAAAATTTAATTTATTCGTGAAATCATTTTATATTTAAATTTAAATTTAAAATAGTTATTTTATTAATTTTAGTTTTTAAAACCTAATTAATATGAATTTTAATGAGATATAATAATATAATCGTTATAATTTTTTTAATTAAATTTGATTATCAAATATTTAAAATTAATTATTTTTAATTCTTGTGGTTATTTTAGCTACAACAGACACTATTCTCCTCCTATAAAAAATAAATTCTCTTATAAATATTGAAAATCAGTAAGAGTAAGAGACATTGAACATGATGGAAGACCATCCTTGAAGACACATGTGGACCTCATCACTAGGTCCATAGCTAGGAGGATAGAAGAGGGGGAGGAAGCTCACACACTAAAGGATACTCTCCTCATGATCATAGAGTATCAAGTATTCTCCTAAGCCTTATTAGCATATTATTTATTTTATTTCTATTTTGCCCTTGTCTTTAATTTCCCATTTTACCCTTGTATTTTGGGTACCTTAGACATATGATTTATATTTGACTTGTATTTCCTATTTTACCCTTGTATTATGGGGTGTCTTAGATTATAGGATTTTATTTTATAGCTAAGATATTTTATTAAGGTTGGAAACTAGGCCTCAACGTGATTTTTGATGGCATTGGATTTATTTTTTTAGACTTGGCAAGGCTTAAAGACCAAGTAGAGGGCACCTAGGTTGCATGGTCTTATCATGCACCTAGATGTAGTTTAACCAAACCCAAATATTTCATCATTGGCCACCAAGTAGCATCTATGGTTCATTTATGTTTCATTTGAAGTGCATTTGGCTTGCATTACTAGGCCATGCACTCTCAAATGTAACCCTAAGTACATCCTCCCTCCTATAAATACCCTAGGTTAACCTCCTTGTAAATACTTTGGAAATTAATATAGATAGAGCCTTTGAGCCTTTATATTTTTCTTAGTCACTCTTGATTAATATTCGGTCAAACCCTACCTATCTTCACCTTGAGAGAAAACCTTAGAAGTGACCTTCATCATCCATGGAGTGAGCCAAACCCTAGAGTCTCCTTTCAAACCTTTCATGAAACACCTTCACCTTATCTTTCCATTTTTGGTTTCCATCCTAAAACATGCCCACCTTGAAGAGCTTGATCCAAGGAATCAAGGAGTCCTTCATATTGCTCACAAATTCTTCCTTTCACATGCAACAAGGATTCCATCATTAAACACCACTCTTTTCTTTGTTCTCTTTCTTATGAATCAAAAACTTGTCAATTTTACATTATTATATTCCAAAGAGACTTACATAAATATATGTAGATAAATTCTTTAAAATAATACATTGCATATCTATAAAAAATTCAAATCTAATATATACTCTCAACATTTTTCGACAGCGTAAAAAGTGTGAATGAAACATTTCTAATACATACAACCTTCTATAATTTTTTTTTTTGAACAGCAAATAAAGTAAAATATATATAATATTGGTACAAGGGGTACCATATCCCATGTACAAGATTTTGTGGCTATTAGGAATAATATACTTTACCCTCTGCAAATTCCCAAATCAAATTAACCATACCCACATTAGTCTAGGTAATTTACTAAGCTTTGACCCCAAGTATATAACATAA